CCTTCAGAGCGATAATATCCTTCCTGACAAATCGACCATGGGGAGATTCGAACCCGGGTGTCATGGTCAGAATGCGAACGTTCTAACGACTCGGCCACGCGCCCATAATCCTCCTATATGCTAGTGAATTTTGGTCACTATTATTAATAATAATTATAAATAATACCTTTATATCACAAGTCTCTTTATATACATGTTAGAGTATATTCAATTTGTATAACCCAGTCTATATTAAAACCTGTTCGCATTGTCCGGTGCTGGTGTTTAATGTTTAGCAAGATCAATTACGACTGTGCAGTTAGTTCAGTTCTCATTGGGTCTAATCTTTGCTTAGTAAATCAGGATAGGCTGGGAGATGTTTCGGTGCTACTATGATATCTACCGAGGCATTTGTGACATACCGTAAATGACGATACACTCATTATTGCTGGAAAATGCTCAGGAAAAACGATGACCTGTCTACTGTTTTATTTTTAAATGACATCAGTTTTATAAACATTAAAATCACTATTTAATGATATTTAAAATATTTTTTGTATAAAAAATTGTTAATGATTTTTGATACATTGTTCACTGTTCACTGCGTTTAACCCTAACCCTAACCTCTAACCCTAACCTCTAACCCTAACCTCTAACCCTAACTCTAAACCTAACAGTTGGTAAATATCTTACCAAAGTAGAAAATGAAGAGTATATATCATACTATAGTAGAAAATGGACGGTAGATTTCATACTATAGTAACATCGATATTTCTTAGCCTGTACGCATGCTTCCATAACCTCTCCTCTTTTATTCAATAGATGTTGTTGATCTGAAAAAATAAACATGGCTAACTTCTCCATCTGGTACAATGAAAAGAACAAGACCCAAGTGTAATTTATAGCGTATTTTTTTCAATATAGTCCATTTTATGACTGATGGGTAGACATATTTCCTTCGAGTTCCGATACATATCCCGCAAGAACAATGTTACAAAGAAAAATGCGCATATATATATATATATATATATAGTATGTATGTATATATAAATATATATATATATATATATATATATATATATATATATATATATATATATATATATATATTTCTATATATATTATTTATTTTATTTTGTTTTCATCGTCAGGCTGTAATTGTTTTTCATTTAAAAATAAAACCCCAAGACGGAATAAATGTATTGTAGATCGAAAGATGTTTTTTTTAAGAATGTACTATTTATTAACGGTTATATAATATTGGAACGGGCAATGTCGTAAAACAAACCAAACCAAAACAAACTAAACAAATAGATTTTCTTTTTTATAGGTCTTCAGCTAAAACGTTTAGCCATCTTAACACCATTTGTCGTAAAAATCCTGGATAAACCCTTTGAGTTATTCAGCTAGAAAGAGAACAGGTTATAATTGTTTTGTGTCAGCTCCATTCTCTTCTCAACTGAGCAATGATGGAAGGAAATAGGTCATTCAGGCTTTCAGTAATGGTACCAACATTGATAAACTGGATTCCATCTTCCTGGAACTGGATTCCATTCAAGAACCATCAAGGGATCAGTGAATAAGTTTTAAAAAAAGGGAGCAGTAGAGAGGAAAACTGGATCTGGACGTCACAACAGGAAGAGGGATCATCATTTCATCTTAGAGCTAAAGCGATCAATTAGAAAAGATCCAACTCAACCCATAAGACGTTAGGCACGTGAGAGAGAAGTTTCAGCTATGACATCCTAAGAAGCAATGAAAAAAGACTTGAAAATGAAATCGTACGTGAAACCTGTGAGTTCATTTTCTTACTTCAGGTTAGAAGCTTCGAGAGGGGAAGATCATCTTGAATAAGTTGGAAAACGATCCTGGAATAATATATATATTATTTCAATCCCTCATGAGTTTCCGATCCTATGATTAATTAATGATGAACATGTAATTTTCGTTTCTGAGCGATTCTTCTGTTAAGCTTGAAGAGTAATTACACATTCTTGTTCCTCAAAGTAGAGTCCAATAGTGTTATAAAAACCTCGGAGAATTCCAGTAAGATATCTTTAATCATTTCTAAGATACAACGGTTCAAAACTTAATCTAACAATTGGACAATTTTGGTGTTACACGATTTGGACAATTTTGCTGTTACACCATATATACAGTAGCGAGCATAAAGATCAGAACGATGTTAAGAAAAAGTCCAAATATAAAATAACTTTTTATTTTAAAGCTTCAAAGAACGTTTTATCAAGGAAATATAAGGATATAAAGGTAAATTATATAATTTACAGAATATACAGCTCACTAAACTTATTTTGATAAAGTTATCAGAATAATTATATAACATTCGAAAGAAATAGATGATCAAAAACATCCGAACGATTAAATAAATCCATAAAATTTAATAATTATTTTGCATTATTGAAAATTTTTTAGGGTAAGAATATAAAATCGGGTATTTTACTAAATTACACCGACTCTTTACTGGCTCTTGCATTGTAAACATGGCGAAAAAATCTGTGACGTCATTGAAACTTAGAAAACTGATAGTCAAGTTACGTAATGAAGATAAACTCTTTATTGGGGATATTTCAAAGAGTGTTCGGAAATCTAAAAGTGTTATTCATAGTATTTTGAGAAAACTTGAGGAAACTGAGTCAATTGAAGCCAAGAAACCACCTGGCAGGCCTAGGAAAACTACTGCATGGGAAGACAGATGGATTGGTAATGAATCAAAAAGGATCAATTTGCGACAGCAACCGCTATCTTTAAAAGAGCTAATGCTAACCTTGGTATTAAAATATCAAGGTACACTATTTCCCGAAGACTTTATGGAATAAATCTGAACAGTCGAGTAGCCTCTACGAAGTCTTGCATTTCTAAAAAGAATCAAATGAGCCGATTGGAATTTGCCACTGAACACGTCATATGGACAGAAGAACAGTGGGATTGTGTTCATTTCAGCGATGAGTCAAAGTTTAACCTGTTCGGTTGTGAAGAGAGAAGGTTCGTTCGACGCAGTCCTAAGGAACAATATTTGCCTCAGTGCACTAAAAGCAGCGTTAAATTTGGAAGAGGAAGTATGATGGTGTTTGGCATGATTTCACTTGCTGGTACGGGACCTCTTGTTAGGCTACACGGTAAAATTAACTGTATACAAAAAGTTAGTGAAGAAACATGTACCTAATTTGAGAACTGCAATTAATCAACCAGCTGTATTTATGCAAAATAACGCGCCATGTCACACAGCGAAGTCTGTTAAGACTTTTCTTTCTGAGGAGGATGTTACTGTTATGGAGTGGCTTGCTCAAAGCCCAGACATGAATCCTATTGAGAATGTTTGAAAGTTACTAAATTAAAAAGCTAAGGAAAAGAATCCAACAAACGTCGAAGAACTATGGACTAATTTGAAAGGAGAATGGGAGAAAATATCTGTTAATGAATGCAAGACATTAATTCGCTCATGTAGCAAAAGATATCAAGCTGTTATTGAAAGTAAAGGTTTACACATCAAGTACTAATGAATTATGAACGCTATTTTCATTTGGATATGATGTATCCATTATAATAGAATGATTTTGTTAATCGTTCTGATGTTTTTGATCATCTATTTTCTCCAATGTTATATAATTATTCTTATCAAAATAAGTTTATTGAGCTTTATATTTTGGAATTATATAATTTACCTTTATATCCTTATATTTCCTTGATAAAATGTTCTATGAAGCTTTAAAATAAAAAGTTATTTCACATTTAGACCTTTTCTTAACATCGTTCTTATCTTTATGCTCGCTACCCTCTCTCTCTCTCTCTATATATATATATATATATATATATATATATATGTGTGTGTCTCTGTGTGTGTGTGTGTGTGTGTGAATTACAGTTAATGAGATCCAAACGATTTACCTCATACAGATGATCATTTCGTCCATGGAAATATATTTTTCCCTGGACTTATGAATGCAAATATATTTACAAAAAAAAAAAAGTAAATATATTTGCATAGATAAGTCCAGGGAAAAACTACATTCTCATAGCCGAAATGGTCATCTGTATGAGGTAAATCGTTTGGATCTCATCAATTATAATTCACCTATATGTTCTATAATAAAACTTATATTGAGTTGTCTTTTGTGGACCAGTTTTAATATTTTATATTAATAGGATTTACTTGGATTACTTACCCACGGATATTTTTATTATATTTATTTTTATTTATATTTCAAATAAAAATAAAAATTTTAAATAAAGATAAATATAATAATTCCAGCACTTAAAAATTGCTTCGACATGAAACTCGGAGTTGTGCAATTAATGTAATATATTATGTATATTTCTAATATATATATATATATATATATATATATATATATATATATATATATATATAAAATAGCTCTTTTACTTAACAATGATCACTGTTTTTTCTTACAAAATAGAATATTCATACGTATTTGTATACGATCGCTCGCTCGTATACCTACCTATATTACCCATTGGGTTATATATATATATATATATATATATCACACGCAATGAATTGAGAACCCTTCCAAATATTTTTGTTCGTAGTCTTTCAAACGGGCATTTTTCTAGACTCTTTCCAAAATGGAGGTCACCTAATTTATTCACGATTCTGGGCCAGTCAAGAACTAATTCGCCTTTGTTTATTTATTCATTTGTCTAAAGAAACTTGTGCCGATTGTATTTAATGGAAATCAGTTTATGTTCTGAAGACGTTTTCTTTCTTCTTTTTATTTTGTTTCTTCCCTTCTTTTCTCGCTCCTCGCCTTTTCGAAGCATTTACATTAAAAGACTGACAACATGATGGACGGTAGCTGTACAAAAAGTGGGATTATCGTCAAGATTAATGCCTGGTAGTGCGTTTTAGGGATGATATAAATTATTAAAGTTATTACTTTGAACATGTGTTCGCTGGTATAGCGGCATGATGGAAATCGGGAGAACAGGGGTTGGGGATAGGGAGCTTTGAGCCTTGAGGCCCGAATCTGTCTCGTTGGCTAAGATCCCATTATAGATAAAGGCAGGTTTAAAGAAGAGGCAACGAGCGTGCTAGATAGACAGACAGTCAGATAGAGATAGATAGATAGATGGATAGAGAGAGAGAGAGAGAGAGAGAGAGAGAAAGAAAGAGAGAGAGAAAGAGAGAAAGAAAGAGAGAATGAAAGAGAGAGAGAAAGAGAAAGAGAGAGAGAGAAAGAGAAAGAGAGAGAGAGAGAAAGAGAGAGAGAGAGAGAGAACGAGAGGGAGGTGACAGGAATGAAAATAATGGAATTTAATACAAAACGAAAAGCACAAATAAACCGCGCTTTCTCGCATAGAAAATAGTCAATATAGCGACTTTTGATTTCATCTATTAGGCTGAGTCATAAATAATTTCCCTTTTCTTTTATCAACTTTGTTCTTCAAAAAAAAAAAATCAAGTACAATTACATCTTGTCCAATTATACATTCTCCGTTATTTGCAATGACTTGTTGCCACTCACCAGACAGTCCCTCGATACCTTTTTTTGAGTTAAATTCCGCAGGTTTTGACCTGCAAACGTTTCCGACAAGCACTTGAATGCGGATTTCATTGCAGAAAGCTTTCTTCATCAAAGCGTTTTACAGTGACCAAAAAAGAAAAAAAAAAGTAATAATCAATGGATGCAAAGTGAAGTGAATGTGTCAAGTGGTGTAGAACAGCCCAACCGAGTTCCAAACATTTTTCTTGTGTTATCCTTACTGCATCCGCTTTTGCGTTGTTATAAAGGAGAACATTTTTCCTATTAACGACCATAGGACGAACTTCGATCAAGCCTTTATGGACACGTTGCATCTACTGGACGTATAAATGTGCAGTTTGTGTTTCACGGTATTTAATGGACACTGGAAAATTTAGGAAAAAATAAATTAACTCTGTTATATATGCTGCAGACAGACTACTTTTCATTGTGTCAAAGTATCATTTTGTCAGTGTTGTCCCATGAAGAGATATACTTAAATATTTGAAGAAAATGTGAGGGGTGTACTCACTTTTGTGATACACTGTATATATATAGATAGATAGATACAGGGTTATTCAAAAAGAAAGAGCAGATTTTCGAAAATTTAATAAAAACAAACGCGAAGAGACAGAAACACATTCAACAAGTTACCAGATAGTAAAAAGGTTCAAAGTTATTAAAAAAAATAGGTCAAAAAACGCCATATCGGGCGGCATTTCAGCTTGCACCTACAGAGAGCTCTTCATCGCGCCTTCACAATCGGTAGGAAGGAGTAGATGCGATATCGGGCGGCATTTCAGCTAGCTCTTACGTAAAGCACTTCATTGTACCTTCACAATCGTTAGGAAGGACTAGATGCGATATCGGGCGGCATTTCAGCCAGCTTCTACGGAGAGCTCTTCATTGTGCCTTCACAATCGGTAGGAAGGAGTAGATGCGATATCGGGCGGAATTACAGCTAGCTCCTACGGAGAGCTCTTCATTGTACCTTCACAATCGCTAGGAAGGTGGAGATGCGATATCGGGCGGCATTTCAGCCAGCTTCTACAGAGAGCTCTTCATTGCGCCTTCACAATCGGTAGGAAGGAGTAGATGCGATATCGGGCGGCATTTCAGCCAGCTCCTACGGAGAGCTCTTCATTGCGCCTTCACAATCGGTAGGAAGGAGTAGATGCGATATCGGGTGGAATTTCAGCTAGCTCCTACGGAAAGGACTTCATTGAACCTTCACAATCGCTTGGAAGGAGTAGATGCGATATCGGGCGGCATTTCAGCCAGCTTCTACGGAGAGCTCTTCATTGTGCCTTCACAATCGGTAGGAAGTAGTAGATGCGATATCGGGCGGCATTTCAGCCAGCTCCTACGGAGAGCTGTTCATTGCGCCTTCACAATCGGTAGGAAGGATTAGATGCGATATCGGGAGGCATTTCAGCCAGCTCCTACGGAGAGCTCTTCATTGTACCTTCATAATCGCTAGGAAGGAGTAGATGCGATATTGGGCGGCATTTCAGCCAGCTCCTACGGAGAGCTGTTCATTGCGCCTTCACAATCGGTAGGAAGGAGTAGATGCGATATCGTGCGGCATTTTAGCTAGCTCCTACGGAGAGCTCTTCATTACGCCTTCACAATCGGTAGGAAGGAGTAGATGCGATATCGGGCGGAAATTTCATCGGTAGGAAAGGTTCCTCACAATCGTAGATGCGATATCGGGCGGAATTTCAGCCAGCTCCTACGGAGAGCTTTCATTGCGCCTTCTGCAATCGGTAGGAAGGGTAGATGCGATATCGGGCGGAATTTCAGCTAGCTCCTACGGAAAGCACTTCATTGTACCTTCACAATCGCTAGGAAGGGGGAGATGCGATATCGGGCGGCATTTCAGCCAGCTCCTACGGAGAGCTGTTCATTGCGCCTTCACAGTCGGTAGGAAGGAGTAGATGCGATATCGGGCGGAATTTCAGCTAGCTCCTACGGAAAGCACTTCATTGTACCTTCACAATCGCTAGGAAGGAGTAGATGCGATATCGGGCGGCATTTCAGCCAGCTCCTACGGAGAGCTGTTCATTGCGCCTTCACAATCGGTAGGAAGGAGTAGATGCGATATCGGGCGGCATTTCAGTTAGCTCCTGTGGAGAGCTCTTCATTGTACCTTCATAATCGCACGGAAGTGTAGATGCGATTTCGGGCGGAATTCAGCCAGCTCCTACGGAGAGCTCTTCATTGTACCTTCACAATCGCTAGGAAGGAGTAGATGCAATATGTGGCGGCATTTCAGCCAGCCCCTACAGAGAGCTCTTCATTGTACCTTCACAATCGTAGGAAGGAGTAGATGCGATATCGGGCGGAATTACAGCCAGCTCCTACGGAGATCTCTTCATTACGCCTTCACAATCGGTAGGAAGTAGTAGATGCGATATCGGGCGGCATTTCAGTTAGCTCCTGTAGAGAGCTCTTCATTGTACCTTCATAATCGCTAGGAAGGAGTAGATGCGATATCGGGCGGCATTTCAGCCAGCTCCTACGGAGAGCTCTTCATTGTACATTCACAATCTGTAGGAAGGAGTAGATGCGATATCAGGTGGCATTTCAGCCAGCTTCTACGGAGAGCTCTTCATTGTACCTTCACAATCGGTAGGAAGGAGTAGAAACGATAGACAACAATAAACTCCAGAAGAAATCAAAATTGATTTCTGCATTTAAGTATTGCATTAATATTTAAAGTTACCTTTTATAAGTTGAACCATAATTCATCTATCGCCACTTACTTTAAACTCAATATGATATACGTCGGTTCTTATTTTCCGTACAAATAATTATTTTTATTTCATGGGTAACTTTCGCTGGATTTCTCCTTTAATTTTGATTATTCCCAAATTTATTTCCAAATTATAAAAATTATTATCGTACAAAATATTTCTTTGCAAAAAATCACGTAAACCAATCGTCGAAAACAATCGAAGTAATGAAAACTTGGGAATCCAAAATTTCAGGATTGCGGGTCCGGATTCGGCCCGCAATGTTTTTAATTTACTCACGGAGTCTGCTTGATTCCACAATGATATATCTTGGGCTATGGATTCTAGAAGTAAAGTTGAAGAAGTGTGACACACTGATATTCGCATTTATTATATAGATAATGAAATTTTTTCTTGTTAAATACATCTTTTTATTGTTTTATTCTTCAGATTTTGTAGAAATTGAAATTGTCATAATGTGTGTCAACCCTTAAAATGGCCGCAGCACAAAAAAAGTCGTTTTACCAAGCGTAAGCTTAAAGTAATAAACTTTGAACCTTTTCTTATGTAGCATTTGTTTTTATTAAAGTTTCGAAATCTGCTCTTTCTTTTTGAATAGATATTCCATCTACTGTATATTTATATACGGACCCCTTATCATAGATTCGGTGGGGTGTATCATAAATAGGAGGAGCGTATCATATAGTTAGATATTTACGAATTTCGAAACATTATACTTTCATGAACGTTTTTTTCCAATTGTCACACACACAATGTGATGTGCTATGCTATTTAGCTACAGAGGAAGCGTCTGGTTACCAAAGTTAAAAGTGACTGTTTTTAAACGACAAATCACCCCCGCCCTCGAAAATAATTTGACTTTGTTAACCAGACGCTTCCTTGTTAACCGTGTCACAAAAAACACAAAAAAAAAAAAACTTTCTAGTTTGTCATATTGTTCTAAATACTGTTTGCTGATATTAATAAAAATTAATTACATATCGTTATATATATATATATATATATATATATATATATAGCATAATGAGAAGCCACGTATACTTTCTTAATATGTATATATAGAAAAAGTTTCAAATTAAAAATTATAATGTTTTATTTTATGAAAGTATTTATTTATTTATATATATATTTGATATTTCAAATTGTCCTCAATTTTTCATCAGAAATAACTGTTTGTTACAAATAAATTAAAATTACTGTTTGTTGGCAAGTAGCGTCCTTCGAGAGACGCGGACGTCACGTGATATGGAACGTCACTGTTCAGATATTCCTAACTTAAATCTAACTGTCATAAATATTTAAAAAATTTTTTTTTTTTTTTTTTTTTTTTTACTATATCTAAAGAAATTGCTTAGCTATACCTAAGTCCCTATTCAACCCTAATTTATGTGTATTTAATTTTAAAATCCAATATGTTTCTTTTTTTCTGCGTGTGAATGTGGAAGTAAAATCGGAATCTATTAATAAACATTTGCAGTTTTCTAATGTGTTGTCCTGATTGATTGTAGTGTTTAGCTATGGGGAATAAGGGTTGTTTTGACGTATTGTTTTGTTTATGGTTATTAAAACGAAATCTAAAATTGTTTCCAGACTCACCAATATATCCACTATTAGGACATAAGTTGCAGAATAAATAATAGATTACGTTATGGGTATCGCAGGTGAGTTAGGTGGCTGTATCCTGATATTGGTGTTGGGTACGTAAAATGTATTAGCTATTACTAAATGTTTGCAAACTAAGCAACGAGGTTTGTTACATTTGTAATTTCCTGTTTGGTTTCTATTGTTTAGATATTTGGTAGAGGTGAGGATAGCTGATAAGTTAGGTGATTGTTTCATTCATATATATATATATATATGAAGAAAAATTTGGAAAAAACAAACAAAAATCCTTAAATACAATTATGTTGTTTAAAATGAATGAAATGTCGACGTCTGACGTTTCGGTTTAATAAACCTTTTTCAAGACAATATTCATTAAAATACAATTCAGTTCAATTTAACAAAGACGATGGACATAAAAACAAGTCTTATCCAAAACAGATAACTGAAAATTTTTAAAATGATCAGCTTTCCGTTTAACATGGTCACGTTGTCATCACATGGGCGACGCTTTCAAAACGTATTCCTAAAAATTTGTGATTATTTTGAAATGAAAAAGAAAATGAAAAGAATTCTATTAGGATCTAAAATTTTTATGTGTATGCTTGTCAAGCATTAATCTCGCTAAAAAAGGGAAATATTAAAGAAACCAGGTCTAGTATTCACCGTGCGTGAGATGGATATTATACCTGCTTCATAAATCCTCCTGAGATTTTTATTATGAAAATATTTTTCTACCTTCACGGAATCGAAATCTCTCTTATGATTTTTTCTTTGTTTTTCCAAATTTTTCTTCCTTCTGTCGGATTTATATCCATTTACATTTGCTTACATATATATATATATGTGTGTGTGCGCGCGCGTGTGTGTGTGTGTGTGTGTGTGTGTGTGTGTGTGTATTCAATAAAAAAGACTCCTTTAAGGGTCCATTGGTTATAATTTATTTCCCCAGGGAATTTCTTTTTCCCTAGCTCAACATACCACACTTACAAGGGTGATAAAATGAATTTAAATTTACATATATTTTTTTATACAATTTGATGTAAGGTGATATGTAAGGGGAGAGAGAGTGTGACAGACATGGTCGAAATTAGAGAGGGAAGGGAGAGATAGGAATGATTTTAAATTTATTTTTATTATAATACTTAATAGAGAGGAAGGGCGGTAAGGACCAGACATTGACCTAATTAATAGGTCATCTCACAGGAAACGATATAGAGAGAAAAAAGAGAAGTAAAGATGTGAGAAAATAAGAAGTGGAATTAGGGATATATATATATATATATATATATATATATATATATATATATATGAATTATTTCTAAAAAATAGATAACAGACGTTTTGAATTCTTTCTAATAAACGATAAATCTATTAGGATCGATAAATGTTATATACCGACTAATTATATTTTAATAGCCTTTTTGACTTGTTTATAATTTCAACTTCATAATTAGGATGCATCTGGTTATTAAAAAACAATTTAATATAGTTTTTATTTTTGTTTATATCAAATAAGTGGCTTATATTAGCTTTTCTATATTTCTCTAACACACACGCGCACACAAACATGTATATATTTATAAATTTCTTTTAAATATGTTTCCATCGCGATGCAGAAATTACTATGTTTCGAAACTGAAACTCAAGTCCTGAAGTTTAATTTCAAAATTAAACTTAAAATTTATAGCACAATTTCATTTTCAAGCGACCTTTGGAATAACAGGGTTATTCTAAACATTTTCATTTTTAAACATTTTTAAGCATTTTTAATGTTTTAATCTTTTTTTTTCAAACCAGTTTACACTATTATGTTATATGTATCGGAAGCGTTGCTGCAATAGACAACGAAGTCGCCTGAAAAAAATTGTTTTTATGATATTCATTCAGCAATCATGGACCTGAGAAAAGAAAAAAAACTGGGTGTCGAAAGGACGGTCGTTCCCATGACACCGCTTTTATTTTAACTGCCTTCACTCCCCGGAAATACTTCAGTCAAATATGTGCCATACGTGATTCATGCTTAGGCGATCATGTATCTTTCGATACATGACTGACGTGGCAGATTTCTTCTCGCAGTGCCATTTCTTTCTGCGTTAGACCAGTTGCCATCCAAGACGATAGAATCCGGTCTGTCCTGCTATTTACCCATAGCTTGAGAAGCGGATTCATACCTTTCCCAAAGGTATTAGCTCGTAACTGAATGTAATGGATTCGACTGGGATTCGAACTCAGTCTGAACGGCAATGTTTAATTTTTTAAAAAGCGATGATTAGAATTCTAATAAAACGTAAACATAGGAGAAAGTGAATTTATACATGTTTTTTTTTTTGTTTTTTAGATTGTTTATTTACAAGATTAATTTTATATTATATAACATTCTAAAAAACAATAAAACTGTATTAAAAAAAACTAATGCAATGCAATATTTATCATTTACCAATTTTTAAAGAAATAAATATGAAAATAATTTTTTTATTCATAAATTTATAAACATTTACGAAATTATTAACATATGTGAACCAACTACAAGGAAATCCCTATTATTTACTATTTTATAAAGTTTGAACCAATTACCAATTAGCTGATGTTTTGCCAATCATTCCAATAGTTAATATAATTAATAAATAGTGTAAATAATTTATTAAATAAATAGTGTTTATTATTTTTTATTAATTCGCAAAAACAAAGAAAATGTATAAATTCGTTTTCATATGTTTAGGTTTTATTACAATTCTAATCATCGCTTTTTAAAACAATAAACATTGTCGAGAATTGAAGGCAGCTAAAATGAAATCGGTGTCTAAGGAAAAACAGTCCTTTTGATTTTCTATTGTGTAGGGTGTTATTCGTGTGTCCATTTTTACAGTTTATTCTTTATTATGAATGTGTTTGTTTTAATTTTTGATAAAAGACAATTGATGGACGTATAGGTAGTAGAATGGTTAGCGGTTCGAAAAGAGAAATCGAGTTCGTTGCAATATCCCAAGCAGCACTGGGTCAAATAGAAGAGTAAACTGGGCTCTTTAGCCGTGGTGAGAAACTAGTCTAGGGAAAGGACATATATTCCAAACCGTATCTAGTACGTACCATGGAGCTCACAATGACTCTAATCTCGACTGTGTCAATATACGGCAATTAAGAGCTGTTTTGAATGTGTGTGTGTGTGCTTTTTTTTTTTTGATCGGCTTGAAATCCACACATTCACGCGTATATCGCCTTTATGTAGATTCATTCATACACACGCGTACTTATTTCTATTCGTTCCCATTCCCCCCTCTCTTTCTCTCTCTCACACACACACTCTTTCGAATTTCCTCTCACTCGCGCCCTCTCTTTCTCTCTCTCACATTTTCTCTATTTCTCATTCTCTCTCGGTCATACTCTCTTTCTCATTCTCTCGCACACTCACCGTCAACCACACTCACTTTCTCATTCCCTCACTCACCCTCGCTCACACACACGTCTCTTTCTCTCTCATTCACTCTCAATCTTTCGCAGTTTTTCTCTTTCCTATTCTCTCTTATACTAGGCTTACGGCCACATCACATTGAATCACCAGTTCCCGTACAATTACCGAAGTTAAGCAACGTCAAACCTAGTCAGTACCTAGATGGGTGAACGCTTGGGAATACTAGGAACTTTTGGATGTGAGGGTGGTGTAATGGATAATGGCTCGGAATTGTTAATTGGAGTGTCGAGTTCCAATTCCAGTTGGGTTTCGTTGTATTCATTTACGCGCAAATACGCTTGGGAAAGGCATGAATCCACCTCTTTTATCCCCGGCTATGGGTTAACTAAAATGTCTTACGTCACCAAATCATTATTATGTTCAAATACAAAAAAATCTTACAATGTAAAAATATTTTCTGGCTTTAAATAACCTGCAAAGGGTTGATAAGCCGTAAAAAACGAATCAATCAATCTTAGTCATTTTCTCTAATTGACTTTCGCATACTTTCTCACGCACACTCACATATTTTCTCTCTTTCCATCTTAGTTTCTCTCTTTATCTCTCGGTTACTCTCTCTCTCTCTTTTATACAATCTTTCTCTCCCACACTCTTTCTCAAATCTAAGAAGAGGTTCTGTAACGAAAGGTAAATGAGGTTAACGTTCTATGTTTGCGGGATTAAATCTTCCTTTGTTTTGCTTAAAAAACGCGTCCTTGTGCCAAACTTGACTTGGACTCATTTACTCGAAACATACTGCAAAAGCGTACAGTAATAACGGTCCCTAAGAGCGAGGCGGTTTCGATCTCGGGGAAATCTCGTTAAAGTAGTTTGCACTAATTCCTTCCGGAAGGCATGAACTTGAAAAGCCCCACTTACGTCTCCACGCCAAGCCACTACACGAACACATGACCAGAAGAATCGAAATCAAGCCAACACTTTGAGGCCAGCTGACCCCCTTCTGACCCGAAATTGCCCCACATATCGAGATCAAAGCAAGGGCTTAGTACTCAGCAATGACTGTGAAGGTTTCAAACAGAACAACCTTCTTAAGCACATCCATCAGTTTCTCCATTGACATACTTACGATTTAAACGATGGCAGATGACATACACCTATATGCACACACAGACACAGACACACACACACACACACACACACACACACACACATATATATATATATATATATATATATATATATATATATATATATATATATGCATAAAGGCTTTCATATACACATGCGCGCGTTTTTGGGACCGGGTCAAAAGTTAACTCTGAATGCTAAGAATTATTTGCGCTTACTGCCTGGACAAAAGAGGCAGTTTGAAGAAAGAAGGGGGACTTGTTCATGTACGGACCCACCCACTCTCTTGTACATCAACGAATGTGGCATGACAGTGACAAGACGTTCTGGATAATGGATTTACGAATTCCTCTGATAACAATACGTTCTGAGGGATGGATTCATGAACATCTCAGATAATTAACAACAGGTTTTGGATAATGGATTCACCATTTCTCAGATAATTAAGAATACATTTGGAAAGCGATTCACGACTTCTCAGATAATTAACAAGACGTTCTGGATAATGGCTTCACGACATATCGGATATTTAGCAAGACATTCTAGATAATGGATTCACGATTTCTCGTATTTTTAAAAATCCGTTCTGGATAATGGATTCATGACATCTCTGATATTTAAGACGTTCTGAATAATAAATTCACGTCTTTCTCAGATATATAAAAACACATTCTAGATAATGGATTCACGATATGTCAGATAATTAAGAAGGCATTGTAGAAAATAGATTCACGACATCTCAGATATTTAACAGATATTGTCCCATTACCATGGGACCCATTTACATTTTGATGCATCCTTTTTTATATACAGTGAGCCCTCGTCTATTCGCGTTTCAACATCCGCGGCTTCACACATTCGCGGATTTTTCTTTAGAACATACGTACTTGTTATTCGCGGAAACCCCGAATATTCGCGTGTTTTTCTAAAGAATAAATATATAAATTATTCGCTGAGAACTCCCTCGATTCGCGTATTTTTCCGATAGAACATATTTAAAATATTCTTGTATTATTTTCCTGTTATTTAAGTGACTTAAAATATATAACAGTCCATTTTTATGGTAAAAATTGGCAGAATTGTACATCTTCATTGTAAAAAAACAGAGGCAAAATCATGCGTAGTGCTTGATACAAGTCCTAATAATTAACTGTTCTTTGTAAGGGTCTGCGGCTGGGGTCTTAAAAGTGACTTTATGTTAAGTCTGGGGGCATCATCGCAGTTCTATTTTTAGAAAATGTTTTAAACTTTATATTTTATATCTTGTTACACATATTTTATACAGTATTTTCAACGGTTGTATCGATCTATGCGTAATTAAAAACGGTTATTTTACGTATGAAAGAAAAATTAAGTCTATAGTCACCAATACTATTTTTCAAAAATGTTTTAAAAATGGTCTGAAATGTTTCTAAAGTGTTTACGATAAAAGTTTAAGGCATATGGGGTTTTAACAATCAAAATAGGTACTTATAAGCACTTTGGGGTTGGGGGTTGCAAGTATTCGCGGATTCTAACTATTCGCGACCGGTTCTGGTCCCTAACACCTGCGTATACGGGGGACTCACTGTACGTATAGATTTTTTAGGTAGCTTTTGCAGTTTTGTATAATTTTGTCTCAGTTTTATGTTTCATTGAACACGTACATGTAATAAGTGCAAAATTGGCCAATATTGTACAAATTAGACAAAATAGTGCTTCATTTAAAAATATATTCTTTTTTTAAAGACACGGAGTGACAGAGTGGGGGGGATACATAATGAAAGGACCCCCAAATGCTATAAGCCCAGGGGCCTCTTAAGACTTAAATCCGGATCTGATTCTAACTGAGAATGGTCTCTGTGATATTTTCTTTTATGACCAGAGATACGTTCATAGAATAAATTCACTTATATAAATTAATAAAAACCTAATATATATATATATATATATATATATATATATATATATATATATGTCCGTTTCTTCTTCATTTAAGATTCATAATTATGATTTCCCTGAGTTTTACGCAAGTATCTCCGGAAAAACCAAAAACGTAAAGAGAAAAAAAAAAACATTTAAAAAAGAATATAAAAAGAAATAATGAAAAACGAGTTAAATCCCGATTTGGTAAAAAGACTGATAGATCAGTAGTATAGAGCTATCAATGACGTGGGCACAATTTCAAACTTGACGAAGTAAATAAACACAAAGTACAGATAACTCTATAAAAACACCAGGGATCGATTTAACGCTGTTCTTATATTATGAATGGGCCCCTCTCTTAAAACGATAAAAAAAATATTGGTTGATTTGTTTATTACGGCTTGTGACCGCTTGGGAATACCAGGTGCTGTAAGCTTGGGTGTGCGGGTGGTGTAATGGATAACGACTTGGAATTGTTAATCGGAGAGCCGAGTTCCAATTCCAGTTGGGTTCGTTATATTCACTTACGCGCAAATACGCCTGGGAAAGGTCTGAATCGACCTCATCTCCCCCAAGCTATGGGTTAATTAGTAAGACTTGTATCACTAAATCATTATTATATTCCCCTCCCCCTCAAAATAATCTTACAATCTAAAAAATATTAGATGGCTTTAAATAACCAGCAAAGGGTTGATAGGCCGTATAAACCCAAATCTATGGGTTAATTATTAGGACTTGTATCATTAACTCATTAATATCTCTCCTAATAAAAATTCTTACAATCTAAAAATATTTTCTGGCTTTAAATATCCTGCAAAGGGTTGATAGGTCGTAAAAACACAAATCTATCCGTTAATTAGTAGGATGTATCAATAAATCATTAATATCTCCCATAAAAATTGTTACAATCTCAAAATATTTTCTGACTTTAAATAACCTGCAAAGGGTCGATAAACCGTAAGAATCGAATTAATCAATCCAGTGCTGTATAAGTGGTATGCATTGTCTCGTTGCAATCGCAAAACTTATAGAAGAACGGGTCAGTAGTACGCTTTTTTTAATTCCGGTCGTCTCTTTAAAACCTACTCATAAGATGGCCGGTGATGAATAACCACAAAATTCAGAGTTCAAGAAAAGCTTTACGATGATTCACAGTCGACGCAGCATGGCGCCATCTTTTAATCTTTAAGCTCCATCTTCAGCCACCTTCACCTAAAGCAAACTCCCCGATATCCATCCTGGCAATCTTTTTTCTGGGGAAACCTGAATTATGCAAACGATATTACATAACGACATTCCTTAAGAGCGTAAACAAGACACGATATACTATTCTTGAAGTAAACATTAAAAACATTGCTCCCAACGGAGAGACATGCCGGTTGGGCGGTATTTGCCGTTTCACATCTTAACCTGTTTTCTCAAACACGCCAAAAAAAAGAAAAAAAAAAGAAAAAAAAAGGCTGATTCGACTTGTCAAATGAAAAGAAATGCTGTATATGACGAATGTCCTGCGTCAATCTTTCAAGTCGGAAGGGCCAGCCTACCTTAATATTTACGAAGCTTACCTTAGTACATACAGCAGAAAGCCAAATAGAGTGAAATGTCATGTTTGAGGATTGTGTTGCGTCAATTTCCGAAGAGGAGTGGGCTAGTCTGCTTTGATATTTGACTTACTGCGGTACAGAGGAAAATGTCATGATTGAGGATTGTGTTGCGTCAGTTTTTCCAAGTGGGGGGCTAGTCTGCTTTGATATTTAACTTACTACGGCACAGAGCGAAATGTCATGATTGATGATTCTGTTGCGTCAGTTTCGGGGCTGTGATGGGATAGTCTGTTTTGATATTTGACTTACTACGGCACAGAGCGAAATGTCATGATTAAGGATTGTGTTGCGTCAATTTTTCAAATGGGGAGGGCTAGTCTTCTTTGATATTTAGCTTATTCCGGCACAGAGCCAAATGGAAGAAAATACTATGTAAGAAGACTGTGTTACGCCAAGCTTCAAAGGGGGAGTGGGGAACCTGCCTTCATTATTACGAGGCCTAGAATAAAAATAGGAATATGAACGGGATATTGAATCTGCGAGTCTAGTTCAAGTTTGTGCCTAGACTGTCGTGTTCATTTTCACCCACATACATTCGGATAAGGCATGAAGTCTTCACTTTTCCTTCGCCTCCAGCTAGGGGTTAAATAGCTGTGTAGATTCCCTAAATCTCTGTGGAAATAGGTCTATTAGAAGGAAATCAGCAAATTACAACCATTGGATAAGGCAATGGGAAATCACGCCACTATCTTTCCTAAGAAGACATGGAAATTCAGATATTAAAGAAAAGGAAGCCGTGGAGAGTTATGATTGCATACATCCTGAAGAGACATGATATATTAAGAAGTACAGTAGGTCCTCAGGTTACGGCAGTCCCAACCGGCAACGATTCGTGTTTACGACGCTATCTCCATTAATCTTGTTTCGGCTTATTCCATTTCCCTCGTACATAAAGTTTAGTTTCTGATTGTACGCCATATTGGATTGTAGTGCATTCGTTCTGTTTCGTTTGTGTTGCGCTTGAAGTAACTTACTGTCCGTGATTATGGTACCTAAGCGTAGAAAAGGTAAGCCATCACTATGGAAGTGAAAGAAGACATTGTGAAATGCTCTGAAAAGAGAGAAACAGCGAGGAACTTTGGCCGATTGCTTGGCTTAACTCGTTCGACACTCGCTTAAAACATATACGTATGTGTATACATTGCCAGGTTGCTTGACTTGAGACGTTCGACTGTCGCTTAAGACATGTACATATGTGTATACATTGCCAGGTTGCTTGACTTGAGTCGTTCAACTGTCACTTAAAAGATGTACATATGTGTATACATTAACAGGTTGCTTGGCTTAAGTCGTTCGACTGGCGCTTAAAAATGTACGTATGTGTATACATTTGCAGGATGCTTGGCTTAAGACGTTCGACTGTCGCTTAAGATATGTATGTATGTGTATACATTGGCAGGTTGTGACTTGAGACGTTCGACTGTCGCTTAAGACATGTATGTATGTGTATACATTGGCAGGTTGCTTGACTTGAGTCGTTCGACACTCGCTTAAAACATATACGTATGTGTATACATTGCCAGGTTGCTTGACTTGAGTCGTTCAACTGTCGCTTAAGACATGTATGTATGTGTATACATTAACAGGTTGCTTGGCTTAAGTCGTTCGACTGGCGCTTAAAAATGTACGTATGTGTATACATTTGCAGGATGCTTGGCTTAAGACGTTCGACTGTCGCTAAGATATGTATGTATGTGTATACATTGGCGGTTTAACGGCTTGGACGTTCGACTGTCGCTTAAGATATGTATGTATGTGTATACATTGGCAGGTTATTGACTTGAGACGTTCGACTGTCGCTTAAGATATGTATGTATGTGTATACATTGGCAGGTTGCTTGGCTTGAGACGTTCGACTGTCGCTTAAGACATGTATGTATGTGTATACATTTGCAGGTTGCTTGGCTTGAGACGTTCGACTGTCGCTTAAGACATGTATGTATGTGTATACATTGGCAGGTTGCTTGGCTTAAGTCGTTCGACTGGCGCTTAAAAATGTACGTATGTGTATACATTTGCAGGATGCTTGGCTTAAGACGTTCGACTGTCGCTTAAGATATGTATGTATGTGTATACATTGGCAGGTTGCTTGACTTGAGACGTTCGACTGTCGCTTAAGACATGTATGTATGTGTATACATTGGCAGGTTGCTTGGCTTGAGACGTTCGACTGTCGCTTAAGACATGTATGTATGTGTATACATTTGCAGGTTGCTTGGCTTGAGACGTTCGACTGTCGCTTAAGACATGTATGTATGTGTATACATATTGAGTCTACCTCTCAGAGATAACATTTTCTTGTTATATTATAAATTAATTAATTCCCGATAAAAAAGAAAAACAAACTCACATTTGTTTTTCTTTCTTCCCCAGATTTGTTGCTGCTTCCGAGTACAGCAAGAGAGACAAGATCTTACGCTTCGCTATCTTATCTAGCAAGTGCCAATGACATCACTGCCAATAGACATACAAAGAGCTTAAAGCAATTTCATTTCGTTATATGTATTATATTTATGTCCTACACGTGTTTTTTAGACCTAGTGTTAAGTCGAGTATCTGCTGTATAGAAATATAATGCCAAAACGGCGAGAAGAATTGGAAGATTTTGTTGCAGCTATATTATTGAAACATCTGGAAGAGGCATGGAACTAGAACAATATACCACGGTGAACGAAACAAAGGGTTCAGTTCGAAATTTCAATTACCGGAAGAAGGCTGGATCGTACAACGGCCGAAACGTCGTGAACATGACGATGAAGATGAGGACAAATGTCCGAACAGTGTAAATGTTGCTATCCATTGAAAAGGAATTGTTGGATGAATTGGTTGCAGAAGTAATCATTGATAGATTCGAACAATCATCTCGTGAACACAAGCGAATGCTTTTAATATAGTAAACTCCAAGCTATGCTCTGTTGCGCTTAAGAACTATCTGTTGATGTGTAAATTGTGCAGTAAACTATTTACAAGTACTAACCAATGACTTAAGATTAAATAAACTTTCAATTATAACATTCTGTATTTATATCTGGTCTCTACTGTCCGTAATATATATAGTACACTTAGGCTGTAATTACGAAGAAATATACAGGGTGGTCCCAAAATCTTATCACCCCTTACCAAACCGTAATGAGAACAATAGAAGAACAAGTAATACAAAGTACATGTACTGCATTCAGTTTTATTCACTTTCATTGACGCTGTCCCACATCGAGAAGGTCTGTATGAACACCATCATTTTCGTGGCACAAAATTAATGCGGCTCCATGTCCTGTGTGATATTTTACGAAGCAGTGTTTTGTTGATTCTTGCAAAGGCTTTCTGAACGGCGTCCTTCAACTGATGGGTATTCTGGTATCGTTCATGTGAAACTCTCTCCTTAATAATACTCCACAGTGTGATGAAATAGAAAATTATATTATGTAGGGGTGTAAAAACTTTCGAACCACCCTGTAGATTTTTTCCACAGAAATTTAATTATACCCTTTTTTTTTCCACATGTAAATATTTAAAGATTTTATTCGTTACGAAAATTAAATGATAACATTGTACTGGGGGGGGTCGTTTTCATCTCCTAGCAACCAATATTTTTAGACGCTGACCGTCACTGTGAGCATATGTCCATTTACATGAGAGAAAGAGAGAGAGAGAGAGAGCAAGAGAGAGAGAGAGAGCAAGAGAGAGAGAGAGAGAGAGTAATGAAAGAGTAAAAGAGAAAGAGAAAGAAAAGGAGGAGGAATATAGCGCAAAGCCTTATTTAATGCGAGAGAACCCGATGCAGATGTGGGGAAGAAAGAAAAAAATACCCATCCTTCTCGACACACTTTCCACTGAAGTTCCTCGGTCATCATTGTTTAAACATGACCCGACTCTTCGGAACCAGATTACCTCGCGCTAGACAAGGAAAATATTGGTCCTTGGCTGCGAATGACAAACGACTGAGATGAGAGAATTTGATCAGGGTTTCAACATTATGAGCGCACATAAAATGAATACCGACATTCAAAGTATGCTTAAAAAGAAAAATCGTCAAACTTTGGACATTCGTGCTTATATATATATATATATATATATATATATATATATATATAAAAAAGAAAAGAGGTTGTAGTGGTTCCAACTAGAGAAAAGTGTGTATATTAAAAAGAAGAGAAGAGAGGTGCCGCAAACGTTTTTGGTTGTAATGTGTTTTTTTTTTTTTTAAATATTATGCTTTATTTTCCATAATTTTACTACACGTGTTTCTGGTCTCGTGACCGTCTTCAGGTAAAAGCGGAGATTTCCACATATTATTAAAAATAATTAATTTTTTCCTTATGTTTTTCAATGTTAAATATTCTCGATATGGGACATTCTCTGTTTTTGTGTTAGTAATCCGAATGTCTTTTTTTTTTTTAATGTTCGGTGTTCATTAGCGTCAAATTTCCTGAGAAATTAGAACATCATCGCTCGTGATAATCGACCCCACAATCTAAGACATCTCGAAGAAAAGTAACTTTATGTGGTGTTTAATTCAAGCTGAAATAAAATATAAACCTCGGCCAAGTTGTGTCTGACATATATTTATCTCCTCTCTCTCTCTCTCCCTTTCTATTTCCTCCCGCTTTCTTTCTTTCCTTCTTTCTTTCTTTCTTTTTCAGTTATGTATCTGTTTCTTTTCGTGGCTACTTTCCATCATTCCTTTCGTTTTGATCGTAGCTCGCAGTGAGAGGGAAAGAAAGGGGTTACTTTGTAGTTTGTCAGCGCGGTAGCTTTTGGTGTGTGGATGTGAATGAGATCATGACTTCTATGCGTCTCATGTCAAAATTTTGCACACTGCCTCTCAATTGTTACACACAAAAATGGATGAAGACTCAATTAATTTTAAGGATGAAGAATCAATTAATTTTCCTAGATAAAATATCACTAGATATGATCAGCGGAATGAGAATCTACCTCCGTAGATTAAGTAAAAGTTTAATTTCAAAATTTCCTGTAGGTTACCCGGATTGTCATACACCTGATGAAGGCTGTAGTGCACAACGACCGAAACGTTGTAGTAACGACAACAAAGGTGTGGCCATGAGTTCGCGTGTAAATAATGTAAATAATAACTCATCCCAGAAATTCCGACAGAAATCCTATCTCCTGTCCCGATAGTCGTTGTACCGTCTCTTACCTTATCATTAGCACATACATATGTTTAAGAATTTTGCGTTAAGCATAAAAAGGATCTATTCGACCTGTCTTGACCCTTTATTTAAAGGCGCCTTCTCCCGGTTTCTGGGCGTTGCCTGGACCTAAGGAAAGTTTGAGTTGAGTCGACAATTTATCGTACTATTTAAAGGCGCGAAAGTGTACGGGGGTTAAGATTATGGGCATCATCAACATCGGTAATTTTAGTCCAAGTCCTTCACAGATGGTTTCGGATCCAATCGGAGTTATATCATGTGTCCCGATGTCAGACAAGTGGGTGATATACAGTAGTGTTCGGTTGCAGGTAGGGATGACCTCTTCCGATCTGTAGTTAATCTTTTTCTTTTCCTGTTCGCATAAGCGACAAGTACCAGTACAGACCGAGAATTGATAGCTGTACAATCTGCAAGCGTCAATCTTCACCCACCTTTCCCGCCAATTTAGCTTGATCGTCTGCTTAACCAAATATATGATCAACGCTCTTTATCAGCGTTAGACATACCAAAGCAGTGTTAACTTTATATCAATACCAATAAAGTATTCAGGATTTTATAAAGCTTAAGACGAATTTCAGTATTATTTCGTATCTTGTTTAGAAGCCAGCTTTCAAATTCAACAAGCTAAAATTTGTTTAAAATTAAAAATTCAACAGGCTCAATAATTGATTATCTCAATTATTCGTGTATGATACTCGAATTCCCCGATTTTTAAGCTTAATCCTAATCTCAGGTAGGTTATTTTAGAGTTGTGAAAGGCGTAGTGTTTTTTTCTTCGCAGGGTGTTTCATTAAGAGGGATCAAAGTCAGCAGTAAATAAATCAGTGTTATTGGTGAAAATTTATATATTTCTCTCTTGGATTGTTTTATTTAAGTCATGGCAATTATGTATGAAAAATAATATCGCCCAAATGTCCGACAAGGCTTCGGCGACACACCTCCACTCGATGGTCAAAATTTTTGATGACGTCTCTGCATAGTTGCTCCTCGATCTCACCAATATGCCTTATTATCTCATCCCTCACCTGTTAAATTGTTGTTGGTTTTTTGGCATAGACCTTGCTTTTGAGATGACCCCATGGAAGAAATCTAAAGGCGTCAAGTCGCACGATCGTGGTGGCCAATTGACTTCGCTGTTTCGAAGATGATGCGACCTGGGAACTTCTTATTCAAATTCTTTTTGAACGTCCATTTTAGTTATAGACGTCGATAACTTTAAGACGTTGACAAGGACTTAAGTTGTTGAATCTGAAAGAAAAAGAAAAAATCATTAGACGCTTAAACTTAATTCACATTTAAAATAGGACCTGATTATTGGAACCCCCTTTACTTTTACTCTTTTACGTTTTATCGGTTATCTTAAATTTTCCTTGGGTTTGAAACTAGAGACGTCAGCTTGACTTTTGATGATGTCTGTAGAGTAATTGGCCATAGTTAAATGTAACTGGAAGTGATGCCCAACAAACAATATTGACAAAGTTTGCAATAAACAATAACAAAAGAAAGAAAAGCTCATGGCAAAAATAATATAAAAAAATAATACAAAGCGAACAATATATATATGCAAGAAAAAAGCAGGCAAAGCAACAGTAATAAGGCAAATATTTCACAAACTAAGAATGGTGTTAACACACAAAAGGCATACAGGCAAGTGATCACGGCATTCTGACTTCAAGACAAGAAAGAACAGAAATATGGCGGATGAAACCGAGAAGTGCTCTTGTTGAGAAAAGAAATCCCAGCATGCATCTGTATGATTTGTCTATAAATTTTGAGATGGGCGATTTTGTAGTCACCTAACACTATTAGAACAAACAATGTCACTGCTTGCACATAATTTTCAGCCTAATGGAGTAATGGATAGTGGCTCGGATTGAGGAATCAGAGAGCCGAGTTCGAATTCGAGTCGAATCCATTACATTCACTTACGTACTAATACTCTTGAGAAAGGTATGAATCCTCTTCTTCTCCCCACCAGCTATGGGTAAATAGCAGGACAGACCGGGTTCTATAGTCTTGAGATACTCACTTACTAGGGCGGCTAGCCAATCCCTAATCCAGACGCTTGCTCAGGCACATTTGTGGTCGAGGATACCCACTTACTAGGGCGGCTAGCCAATCCCTAATCCAATGTAACTGGTTTATTGCAGAAATAAATGGCGACCTACTGCAGAAAAAAAATCTGCCTCATCAGTCATGTATCGAAAGATACATGATCGCCTAAGCGTGTATCACGCATGGCACATAACTGACTGACTGTATTTTTTGGTTAAGAAACTCCATACTGAATGTACTTTGAAATAGTTGTGTACTGACGTCATAAAGTACTCGTTTTAGGTGGATAAAGACTTTTCTAGCATTTCAAAACTCCTTGCGCCAGCAGAAATATACTGATGACGGCAAATATAAAACAAAAGGCACATTCAGTATAACCACAGTAGTAGGCCTCCGTTTAAATTGCGAGATAATGATAGCGCCCTGTTTGGTCAAAATTCAATCCTTTGGCACTGAGACTTAAGTAACCTCTTCAGGTTGCAGGCCTGGGCGATGGCATATGGAGTTTGTGCACTGCCTAAACAACACGCCCCCTCCCCCGGTCGTACCGACAAGGAATACAGGACATTTACATTTGTGGGCTAGTATGGCTGCAGGAGTTGCTGGAAGTTTTGACAGACAATAGCCTTCGGAGCTTCACATCAGATTTTCTGTTTGACTATACTTCCATAGCTTTTTCTGTGCGTGGATACGTCCGCAAGTCAACGGGTGTTTAAAATCAGAGATCTCCCTCTCCTAGATGGACAGCCTTCCTGAGCTTCAACTACCCGAAGTAGCTGGTTATGAGGCGCCAGTGGTCCGTCTTTGCCTTTTTTCCGGCTTGGAACTTAACTTAGTTGGCAGAGGCTATGTAAGACGCACAAAATGGGATCATAGTACAGACTGTGTGAGTATAATTATTGTTATCTTTAGAATAATTCAAAATTTGTTCACGATAGCCTATTTTTAGTCACATGTCTAGGGTTTTGAATGCCGATGATTTAAAAGTAAGGGTTACGTATTATACGCTAAAATTAAATATTTTTCTTGGCATATATGTCGCCATTATTCGAGACACTATGGCCGATGGTAAGTTATGTCTATAGTCCAAGATAATTAATGTGTAACAGAGTAACAACAAACCAAACACTACATGTTTTTATATATATGAAGTCACAAGTCATCGTGACCGAGGTATTAAGCGTGCTGGTCTTGTTCAAATTGTTGATCATGCTAGATAACACACTCTTTCCCAGAAACTGTAACTAAGGTCTGCTCAGCATAGTTGCAGTATAAACCATACGTGGGCTTTGTGGGTGTTGAACAAACACAAATGTGCATGAGCAAGCGTCTGCAATAGGGATTGGCTAGCTGCCCTAGTAGATGGGTATCCTCGAATACGAGTATCTATCTATCTATCTATCTATCTATCTATCTATCTATCTATCTATCTATCTATCTATCTGAGTACGTGGTTAGAACGTTTGCTTTCTGATCATGAGTCTCGGGTTAAAATCTCACCATGGTTTATTTGTTAGGAAGGAGACTTCCTGGTGTTATCGGTCTGGAGGCACCTTTGCAAAGTGCCTGAAAATCATACAACGGGTTGACCCAAGCCTTGTGAGTGAAATTGCATAGGCGGAACA